CCTCCTGCGACGGGAATCCCACGGGAAAAGCCTCCTCAAAAACCTCGCCTTTTGCGCCCTTCCTTGGAGCAGCTCTTCGCTCTCCTCCATTGCTCGGGTTTCAAGTCGCGGGGCGTTCTTTGTGCTCTCTCCCTCCGGATTTTTGGGGGGGAAGGGAAGAAGGGAGGGGGATCGGAGGTCGCAGCTCGCAGGGGGCGTTTGAAAAACTCCCCGCTTTCCCTCCCCCCGCCTTTAGACGCGGGGAAGGGAAACCGTCGAAGCGCGAAGAGTTCGACGCTTGCTGGGTTGTTGGTTTTTTGCAGGCTCCGAAGACCCCGCATTGGGGGGTCTGGTAAGTGGCGTGGAAAGCTGGTAGGACCCGCAGTCGCAGGTGGCCTCCGGAGTGCGGCAGGAAGCGAGCAACGGCCTCCCCAGCCTGGTTTTGTTGGGAGTTTTCCTTTGGAGTTTATCTCCCATTTTTTCCTCTTTGCGCGCATGGGAGGACGGAGAGCTTTGGGAATACTTAGAGCGAGGAAGTATCGTTTGGGTAGCAACAGTTTTTTTTATTTATTTTACTCAATCCCGGGCCGGCTATGCTTTCCGACAAAAAAAGGAGCGTCTGTTGACAATCCATAGTATATCGCAAAGATAAAGCGGCTGTGACCCCCGTGGGCAAGTTGCGAGTGATTTTGCATTGGATATAATCGGTTTGATTTTAAAGTTTGGATGGTGCTCCTCGCTACAGCTTGTAGCCTGTGTGCGTAACTATTGGGAACAAATAGTTTCTCCGCCTGGCTGCCTTTCTTAACACTTCGGGGAGTATCTCACTGCATGCAGTGGAATGCTGTTGAGTAAACATGCAGAGGCTTGTGCTTTTTTGTGGTAGTAACTGGTTTTTAGCCCAACTCCCTGGTTGAAGAGAGTAAATCCAGTATTCTTTTGTCTGGCCTAAATAGAGAAGGAAGCTGCTGCTTACAGTTGTAAAGTATGATTTTCCTTTCTGTTTAATGTTTACAAGATTCCTGATTTGAGTTAAAAGTTAAAAGTGGTTATCAATTAACTTCTTTTGGTTGCTTTGCAGTTTGCAGTCCGCGGGAAAATGTTATCTTTAAAAGCACAGCGGATGCAAATATGAAGAGAAACAACAAATGTAATCTCTGAATGTCTTGAGAGAGAAAGCAGGACTCCCCCCCCCTCCAAAAAACATCAACAAATCCTTATGGTGAAGCTGGAAATATTTGGGAAGATGGGGGTCCTTGTTTTCTTTCTGATCTGGAGTTTAATCTTAAACTTGACCTATGGACACAGTTTGTTCACCTGTGAGCCTATTATTATTCCAAGATGTTCTGGAATGACTTACAATATGACGTTTTTTCCTAATATGATGGGACATTATGATCAGGACACTGCAGCTTCCCACTTGAAGGTGAGTTTTGTCCTTGCACATATTTATAAGCAGTGTTTTTGCAATGCAGATATGTTTTGCAATACAACAATGTAAGATGATTAGTTTTTATCTTGCCTTTATTACTTTTATAAATAACTCAAGGTGGTGAACCTACATAATAAATATTCTTTCCTCCTCCTCTTGTTTTCCCCACAATGACAACCCTGTGAGGTGGGTTGGACTGACATAGAGTGAGTGGCCAGAGGTCACCTAGTTGGCTTTCATGCCTAAGGTAGGACTGAAACTCATTGTCTCCTGGTTTCTAGGCCAGCACCTTAACCACTAGACCATACTTGCCCTTAATTTATTGTTTTAGAAACCTTAATTACGGGTAATTCAAGAAACAGTTTACAGCATCTATTATGTGTGTGATTATGCAGTGAAAGGGCTTTTCCTAGGATGTTTCCTTTTCAATCTGCTTTTCAATTTATTTTTCTGATTTTGTCTATGTCTTGACAGCTTGACTCAGTTCCATTTTTCAATGTTTTTATTGTGTTAGGAGCAAGAGCTGGTAATTGAGTCTTTTTCAAGATATGGAAACATAAATAAATATCTGGATTTGGTTGATTGGGTACATGAATGGAACAGAGCCTTTATTTCAGGCTCTGCAAATTGTGACCCATTAGACCAGGGGGGTCAAACTCAAGGCCTGTGGGCTGGATCCATCCCTTAGATCTGGCCCGTGGGGCCGCCCTGAAAACAGCAAAGGACCAGCCCATGGTGCCTCTGCCAGTGAAAATGGAATTCGGGAGGACTGCCCTCCTGAGCTCTGTTTTTGCTGGCAGAGGGTTGCAGGAGGCCGTCAAAGCCGAAAATGGAGGTCGAGAGCCCATTTTCACTGGCAGAGGCACCATGGGCTGGTCCTTTGCTGTTTTCAGGGCGGC